GCAGCGAGAGCAGCGAGAGCAGCGAGAGCAGAGGGGTGTGTGAGTCGCTTCTGAGCGGCTTCTCTCGGCCTGCGGCCTGCGGGCGCAGGAAGCTGCAGTACGGAGGCCGCCTCATCTACAGCCAAAGTGCCGGGGTCAAGGCAAGGAAGGGGGCAAAAAAGGGCAATCTGCCACTCTCGGCTCTCGGCTCTGCGAGGTCTGAGACTGAGCCGGGGGGCGGCGGCGCCCCGCGGGCGGCCGACCTCGCCTGTACCGGTGTCCCAAAAAAAAAAGGGGACCAAGCCGAGGCTGAGAGTGAGAGTGTGGGGTCTCCGCTCCCTCCGCTCCTCCCTCTCCTCCCTCTCCTTGCTCTCCTCCTCCTCCTCCTCCTCTGACTCATGAGGATGAAAAGGCCTTCCTTGGACCCCAAGCCTCCAGAGGTTCAGCCGGTTCAGAGCTCTTAGAGATTTTCGATGTCTATCGAAGTCTGGGACCCACAGCTGCCTGGCTCGAGTCTGGCTCGAGCGCAGCCGCACGGGGCCGGCCCACCACACGGGGGCCCGTTGCCATGTCGCCGCCCGCGTCGCCGCCCGCGTCGCCGGGGACCAGGGGAGCAGATGCTCTCGTCAAAACATCTTGGATGTGCCGAGGTCCCTGCCTGTCCTGCCTGTGATTTATCGGGTGAAGCAGCATGAGGCGGGCCTTCTGAGCTGTGTTGCTCTTTTGCTCTCTTTATTGTTCTTTGTGAGAGTGAGAGATGTGTGTTAAAAAACATACCAGGCCGATGGCGACGAGGGCGACGCATCTCCGTCTCTCCAGGAGTGGTTCCGGAGGATCCGTTGCACTCGGCACCTCGGCACAAAAAAAGGCGCCTTCCCTTGTTCACAGAGAGGGCCCTGTGGGGAGGCTCAGCGGGAGCTGTGGGGGGGGGGAGGTGCCGGGCGAGTCGCGCGCGCGCGCGCGCCCGGCGAAGCGGCGGAGCCTTCTCTGTGGTGCACATATGTGCACATGCGCCGCTCGCAGGATGAAAGTTCTGCACCTGCAGCGTAGAAGGGAGGCTTCCGCAGCACTCCGCTCTGGCTGCCACGCCAGTGCCCCCATGTCGGGGATTTGGTCAAACTGGCACGTGCGCAGGGCAGGCATGCAACACGCACTGACACTGCAGGGTGCTCAGCAGGAACTTTGACTCGAAGAGTGACCACACGTTGAACGAGCGGTGGTATGTCAAGAAATCATGCACTAGTCTAAGTCAGTCAAGCATGTGATTTCAGGGTGCCAAACAAAAACATGCGGAGTTGTTACAAGAACATCGCTATGGCTTTGGCACAAATGGAGGAACATATGGAGCCGAGCCGATTGTCACAGCTGGCATCCGCAAGCTCATGCAGCTTTGCAGACATGTGGAGAGGCTACCGAATAAACTTGTGTGTCAACTGCGTCTTTCCAAGAGTCTCCCATAGGAAGTTGAGTCGAGACCAGCTCAAGCAGACAATCAGCAGTCGCGAGCTCTTGCTTCCCGATCCTCGCAAAGCTCTCCGCGATGTCCGTTTCCACAGTTGGTGCGGCGCAAACCCTCGCCCTGGCTTCTTTGAGAGCCTGGCTTCTGTCGGCTTCTGCGACGCCACATGGACAAGCAAGGTGTTGGCACGCGAAAAGGCTGTGCAGCCTAGCCCGCACACGGAAATCTTCTCCGGGCTGTGAGTCTCGCCGCGGAACCGATGTGGAAGTTTCGTGGCTGCTGTTTTTGCGCCAAACACGTTCTGGAATTTGCGGTCAGGGAACCCCCCCAAAAAAAAGCTTCCAGCAGGTAGCTTCCGGAGAAAGTGCGGGTGCGTGCAGGCCAGAATTGCAGCGCGGTAATCTTCCAGCAGAAAACAGCAGAAAAGCTCTGCCAAAGCAGTGCCGCGAATGCGCACGTTGCACCCTCAATGAGGTCTCTCAGAAGAAGGCTCCGGCGCATGGCGTCCCCATTGTGGAAGTCTTCGTCTCAGCAACCACATGAAATATGAGTTCGAACAGACCATTTCGGTTGAATAGCTTTGCTTGTTTATGACACACACACACACACACACACACACGCACAGAGAAACGTTAATTGAGCCTCCACTTCTTTATGGGAAAATTGATATTGTTGGTAATTATTTTGCAGCTACGTACATTAACTAGTGGAACTAGTGCTTCATGCTTCATTCAGTTCAACAACGCAACAAGCTGCATTGCCAGATGAGCCAGGCTGTACATGAAGCAGGTGCATTGTTTCGGAAAGCAAGAGGTAGGTCACACAGGCAAGGTCGTGAGTGAATGATTGCCTTCGCTTCATGTTCTTTAAATGTGAGATATGTGAATATTTGCGTTAGCGCTCGGGCTCTGAGCAATAATCCCAACGCGAAAGGTGGCACATTCCCTGCAATAGTGCATATAGACGTTATGACCGGACTTTAAAGTCTTGGGAAATGTATGGGGGAATTAAGTTTTGCGACATAGTTTCGCAACTGATGTAAGCTAGTCCGTCTGGGAAGGCCCCGCACGGGCCAGGAGGCCGGTGGAGGGCTGGACATCGAGGACGGGAATAAGAGGTCGGGAAGCAGGGTCTTTGTGGGACCTCTGACCATTTCGCCCGGGGTCGGACTACCACCATTTTCATTCGTCTTCAAGTGTATCTGTCAAATGAGCAAGAAATTTCAACCATAGTAACAACTCGTGACCAACAATGTTCCCCATATTGTTGCAGCAAGCGTCCCATGTGATGATGTTCTTACTTCGGAGCAGAAAGCACAGGGGCGTAGCTGATCATCAACTCCAGTTTCGGCTGCGAGTTCTTTCCCAGATGCAGCAATGTAGATCTTGAGCGATGGGTCGGTTTGAAGCTGGTAGCTAGTACTTCTGTGCATTTGTCTGTAAGTGAACCACCAGCGGCTATGCGATCACAGACAATTGGTAACCCCAGCTCACGAGACCGTCCAAAGAGTTTGCCGGTGTGCTAAAGGACTTCGTGACACATTCGGACCTCGATGCGGCACTTTTCTTCCGTCAGTGGAGTTTAGGGGGGCCTGACCGTCAGACGATGCGTTTACGGCCGATCCCGCCCCTAACTACCTGGCCTGCTGGGGTCAGCACAGGTGCTCTCTGCCAACAAGCTTGCTTGGATACTAGCAATATGTGTCTTGGCGGCCTGAATCATTTGAACACTGGCATGAAAGCTTCTCTGACACAGCCGATGTCTCGGATGCCTTCAAAATCACATCGCGAAGTTCAGCAACATGTTTGCCAACGCGTTGTCCGTTTTCTGTTGCACCTGGAGGAAAGCAGTGCGCACACACTGGGGTGGAAGAACAGCTTTGCAGAGTGCGAGTCTGCCGGGTCTCCTTCCTACGAAGACATCTGCAGTGAAAAAGTGGATTTGCCGGACAAGGCTGGCACGTGCAATCCATGCGCGGTGATTCCTGCAGAACTCCGAGAGCTCATAACCGACCCAAAGTCTGTTTTCCCGAGCCTTGTGCCCAGGGAGGGTGCAGCAGAGAACATCAGCCAGCTCCAGCTTGGGCAGTATCGCGATTTAGACGTCCGAGAGCTTCGTTGTGGAAAGCTTTTCCTGCGTGAGGAAGCTAAGGGCATTGGTGGTGTTTTCGCAGTGGGGAAATCAAGTGGACGGCAGCGAAAGATCTGGAACGGATCTGCAGTTTCTGTTGCAGCTGCCTCACCACCAAAACCACACAGGCTGGCCAACCCATCGTCCTTTTTAGATGTGGAGATCCAGCCGGATGAGCCAGTGTTTTATTCCAAGAGAGATGCTGCAACCTTCTTCGACGTCCTTCAGGTTCCGCCAGAGCTGCAGACTTGGTTTGGACAGCCGCCACTTTACATCAGCGAGCTCGTTGCAGGTGGCTTAACTTTGTCAGACATCGCTTCTTTTGGAAACGTGCCTGAAAGGCAGCTGGAACCCAAGATGCTGGTTTTCCCGGTGCACGCAGTTTGGCCGATGGGGTTTTCTTGGTCCTCAGCTGTTGCTCAAAGCACGACTGTTCAGACGTGTGTGAAAGCCGGCAGAAGTGAGGATGCTATTCTTTCCCCTGACTATGAGCTGCCGCACACCTTTGACGAGACTTGCTTCGTTGCAACTGACGACACAGTTCTCATGCACAAGTCGCGAGCCCGTGGAAAGCATACCTTAGACAGATTGAACAAGGCTTTCGAAGAGAATGGAATTCCTCGCAACAAGGGCAAGGACATCTCTCTAGCGGAAAGCATTACGGCGCTGGGATGTGACTTGTCAAACGGACCACCTGCCATGGCCGAGCCAAGCGCCCGCAAACTGTGCAATGCGGTGCGTCGCACTCTGGACCTGCTGCACAGGAGGAGGGCCAGCCCCAGGGGCTGCCACGCAAACTTTGGAGTATGGCAATGGTTCGCTTTGTTGCAGCGTGGCTTTTTCAGCATCTTCGACAGTCTGTACGATTTCGTCCGCAGGAGCCAGCTTCCGAAGTTGTCGTTGTGCCGAGAAGGCCTTTGAATGAGATCCTAACTACCTTGCTTTTGGCTCCGTTGTTTGCTGTGAGACTTGACCGCAAGCCTTTGGACATGCTCGTGGCAACCGACGCCGCGCCAGAGTTTGGTTTTGGAGTCAGTGCTTGCAGCTGCGATCCCGAAACTGCTGCTTCGGTCTGCCGATTGGCAGAGCGGCGTGGCAACTATGTCCGCTTGTCCCATGAAGAGGGGGATGCTGCTGAGGTTCCAAGACTTGGGACGCCACATAAGCTGCCTTACAAGCAAAGTCACCTCAAAACCATTACATGTTCGAAGGCAAAGTGGAGTCCACACTCGGGCGTATTGGAAGCACGCGCTTATCTGTTGGGTTTGAAATAGATTTGCAGACGTCATCTCAAGCACATCATCGAAGCTGCGCGAATTATCAAACACTGGGTGGAACCAAAAGCAAACAGTTTCACAATTCCTTCTCAGTTTCGTCACTGACGCTTTCTCAAAGGATTCCGGGCATGAAGCGAGCCTTACCTCTAAGCTGAGAGGTGTGGTCTTCGACGGGCTGCAGGAGAGGCCTTGGTGCCGCTTTCTTTGAGTTGGGCTACCACGATCGGCTCCCATCGTGATGTATTTTTCTGCAAGCTTGAGGCACTTGCAGGGTGCAAACTTGAAGTGCAACGCCATGGTGATTTGACTGGCGGCCAATTGCTTCTGCATCGGCCAGTGCGGGAAACTGGGTCTTGTTTTCTGAAAGGACAAGTGGCAGGATCCCTCCACTCCGGCTGCAGGATCATGTGTGCAGGACAGTCTCTAACCAGCAGTGGCGAACTGGCAACAAGAAAACGTTGCACCTCAGGAGCCTGGCTTGCTTTGCTTCTACGAATTAGCATGTTCCTGTTTTTCCTCTGGGCTGAAACTTGCTTGGAAGCCACGTCAGAGGGTCAGCGAAGAGCAGAAGCTCAACAATTATGGTGGTAGGTAGTAGGTATTTTTGCTGAATGTACCGTCGTCATACCCCTACAGTCCTGTCCAAAGCGAAAATGAAGCACATAAGATGCAGGTTCTTCTTTTCAGAGAGCGGCGAATGCAGATATGGGGATAAATGCCCGTATAGTCATTCGAAGAAAACTCCTGAACGAGGCCGAGGTGCATCTACAAATCCTCGACGGACGACTTCTAGAAGTCCATCTACTGCGCAAGGAGACAAAGTGTGCTTTCAGTACAAGAAGAATGGGTTCTGCGATCGTGACAAGTGTCCGTACGCACATGTTGACCCTGCAACACCAGCCGAGGGAAAGCCAAAGGCCAAGGCCAAGGCAGAAGCGAAGGCTAAAGCTGAAGCCAAGCCGAAGCCGAAAGGCAAAGCGAAAGCTGTCCCTGCGGCTCCAGCCATTCGCCAACCACACCTATGACGATGACATCTCGGAGTGTTCGTCTTTGGACAGCGACGCTGACTCAGACTCCACCGACGACGAGCATGTCGGGAGGACCACGTCCACCAGACCAAAAGGTAAGAAACGGGTGTTGTTTGCGAATGACGTTCGTTTCCAGTCGTCAAAACCACGACGATCCTACAAGGATCGAGGTGACAAGATCGTACGTCAAAGAGCGCTTCGAGAACGACAACAGAGTGAACGAATTGGGTTTCTCGATGCACACAGCAAGGTTGAAAGCGCAGATGATGACTGACATGGTTTAGGATGACAAATCTGGCGATCGCCACGTGTATGTTCGGGTACCAGGAGGGAGATCGTCTTCTATGATGGTGGAGACGAGCATGAGCTGTATGAGTACGACATTGGCCCAGACGAAAGCAAGAAGATCAAGAAATTCGGTACGGTCACATGCATGGTGCAACCGACATGGATACGGTCGAAGATCAAATTTTTTCATGGACACTGGTTCACCGGTTACCTTTGATGCGTCAAGGTGGGCCGATTGCTACGGATGTTTTCCCGGTAATGATGTTCAAATGGCCAAAGCCATTCAGGCGTATATTCAAGCAAAGTTAACCGGCACTCCGTGCTGGGTCGAACTGCCTGATGAAGCCTGGCATCCGTCTGCGAACCGTCATAAATACCGTCGACCCGTATGTCGTCTAGTCAAGGCTTTACATATATGGACATCCGGATGCAGGAACCATGTGGGAGCAACATTGTCACACCGCAGTACAGAAAGTCGGTTTTAAACCACTTGGGGACGAATGGCCATCGTTGTATTTCCATCCAGGGATGAGGTTGCTGTTGGTGATCTACGTTGACGATCTCAAGATGGCGGGGCCCACCGCGCAGTTGCCAAAGGGGTGGGAAATGCTTGTAAAGAACTTCGTCTCGAAGAGGAAACACCATTGGGTCTATATTTGGGTTGTCGCATCTCTAAAGGCGAGGCTGTCTTGCATGACAAAACGCCAGTGCGAACCGTCACTTATGATATGGAGACATACCTGGACATGACAGTCAAGAAGTATTGTGACGTCACAGGTTTCGATCCGTCCAAATTCAGAACGGTACCATCACCGAGTCCAGCGGAAGAGACCAAACATCACCCAGCCCGGGCTCCGGTGTGCAACAACAAAAGTCATCGATGCACCTGGTGTGGACACACCATGCCTGTCGACGCGGATGGTCGGTTGATTCCACCTCCACCTATTCCCAAAGAAAGGGCCCAGCGGAAGAGGAAGTCACAGAAGCAAACCGAGGAGCGTTAGCACCTGGGGCAGCCAGCATCCTCATGAAATTGCTCTATGCTGCCCGAATTTGTCGTTTTGATCTGTTGCGCAGCATCAACAACTTGGCGCGTAAGATCACTGCGTGGACCAAGAAGGAGGACGCCTTATTGCATCACCTCATGGCGTATGTGCATCAGTCCAAGCATCACTTGATGATCGGCTGGGTTGGGGACTCTATGGAGGACTCATCCATCGGACTCTTTGCAGATGCTGACTATGCTGGTTGCGGTGAGAGCTTGAAAACAACCTCCGGTGCCCATTTGCACATTCAAGGTCCGCGTACTCGTTTCCCATTGGCGGGGCTTAGCAAAAGGCAAGGGTGCCTTAGTCACTCTACACCTGAAGCCGAAATTGTCGCGGCTGACTTTGCTATGATGCGCTGGGATTACCTGCCATAACACTGTGGCAACAATTAGGTGGCAAGGACCCCGACTTCGTCTTTTATGACGACAATCAGACCATGATCGGCATGGTACGCACGGGCAAGAATCCCACTATGCGTCATCTTGAGAGGACGCACGGGATCAGCATAGGTTGGATGCGTGCCATCTTTCAGGAAGGGTATGTGTCTCTTGCCTATGAAGTCACTGCCAAGATGGCTGCTGACATTCATACCAAGTCTTTTGAGGACTCCATTTCGTGGACTCATGCCTGTCAGTTGATCAATATCTTTCCTCCGGATCAGATTGGATCACAGGACATCATGGATCTGATGCGGCCCACTCATTCCCAAAGCACGGATGAGAAAGGTCAGCAGCTGTACACGTTCAAGAGTGAAGCGCCCTGTTTTCCCTACACTCAGACTCCCTTCTTTTCGCAGGTGCTTTATCGCGCGGGTCTTTCGAGTAAAGAAGGTTTGCAGGAGCACGACAGTGTCGACCCCATCTTGGTTGTCAAGTTTCCGCGCATGTTGCGGGATCCGCCGTCCGCGTTGCCGCCGGGACGCTATTTGCGCTCTACCTGGATTACTCACCGGTCAAGTTTGATCGCTATGTGGAGCGGGCTGTTTTTCAGTATCGTGCGGTACGGCATGCGCTCCCCGCGACACCGGTGGTCGAGGACTATGTCCAGACCTCCGCGCCTGTCCCATATGGTCGACGGTTCGTGCGCACCCTGGCGCCTGAGTGGCGCGCGGTGGTTGCCGCGCTCGCGCGCGCCATCCATGGGGGGTACCAGGATTTCACATTACCTCTTCGGTTCAATGGTCGTCCTGATCGCAATCGGATTTCCTACTTGGGACTCATGGTTTGGACAAGAATCATCGAAGAAGTGTGGGAGGACAGGCCACAAAAGATGAGAGAACGCGAAGGATATGGCAAGGCTATTGTTCCACATGTGACAGAGTTGCAAGATTGCAAAGATGGTCTCGTCATTGAGTTCTACGACAGTGCCAAAGATCTGGTACACGTGTACAAGGACGAAGGGAACAGGTTGCAATTAAAGATTCTGATCTTTCGACGCACCAAGGGAGGTGGCCATTTGGTCGCTCATAGGGGTGGATGAAGACAATTGGTGGTATCAGTATGCCCCAGGTCTTGATTGCATGAGGGAGTTCGACGCCGGACCCAATAAACAGTTGAATATCCTGTGCACGGGACGACAAGTCGATGATGCGATGTGCGACTATCTGGCTGATGTATTCCGTTACAGACAAAAGGATTCCGAGAACTCGGCGGTTTTCGTCGGTGCGGGAGTCGTGGGGGGTACATCATGGATCGATAAGAAGATCATCAAGGTGATCCAGAAGATCGAATTTCGCACTGACTACCCCTTGGGGGGAGGTCGTCCAAAGAATTGCGCTTGCTGCAGCCAAGTCGGGGACTCAGGTTATTACTCGACCGCAGCCATACTCCCTCAAAGAGGAAGTGTGTGAACTTGTATGGGAATATCCCACAGTACCCCTGCGATGGAGAACAGACCAGAGCAGGAAGAGCGAATGGAGGAGAGACGAGGAGCCGAAGACAGTGGCTCAGCCGTGGCAAATGAAGGCAGTACCAGTATGGTCCCAGAAGGTGGAGCGATGGAACTGGAAGCAAGTCTGCCAGAAGAACATACGCCTCCAAACAAAGGACCTACCAGAGTCACCGAAGTGCTCGTACTCCCGAAGGTTGACAGAGGACCAGAAGGATCCACAAGTACCCCGTCAGGAAAAGCACCAGCAACTCCGGCAAGGACTCGCCCTTCAGTGGCAACGACACCTGCAACGGGTACCAGAAGCAAAGCCGAGAAGAAGGCAACTCGGAAGGAAGAGAAGTGGAACAAGAGGGCAGAGAAATCTGCCAGGAAAGCTGAGAAAGCGGATGAAGTACCTTCAGTATTCAAGACACCCGTTCGAAGGAAGCTGGGCGAAGCCATGCAGAACGCAGGCAGTATCGAATCTGTACTTCTGCTCGTATAAGGCACTCCAACGAGACCCATCACACAGACCGAACTTCTTACGTATCATTGGCCGAATCATTGCGAGCTTCAAGTACGTGCCTAGGTCAGTGTACGGACCCCCGGCAGGGGAAGAAGAAAAAGCAAAGCTGGCAAAGCTTCGAGAAGCAGAAGAAGCAGAAGCTGCTGAAGCTGAAATGCCAGATGCAGAAGCAGAGTCGAGAAAGCGTAAGCTTGACGAACTGGAGCAGAAGAAGAAAGCTTTGCAGAAAGAAAACGCTAAGAAGCAGCGGGAAATCGAAGAGGAAGAAAAGCGTATCCGTGCTGTTGAAGAAGCTGAGCGAAGAGCTAAGGAGCAAAGGGCCAAGCAAACTCCCAAGGTCAGCGTGCCTATGGAGAAGGAGAACTGGTTCGAAAAGAAAGCAATCGAGCACGGAGAAGAACAGGCGAAGAACAGGTTGTACATATTGGTCAAACAGAAAACGACAAAGCCTGAAGCCCCAAAATGGTACCAGCCTTGGTGGAACCAGCAGCTCAGAGCAGTAAGAAGCCTGAAGGAGGAAAGTCGAAGCTGGCGAGAGCGTGTGTACGAGGATGAATGGAAAGCTAGACGTACCATCAGGAGCGATGAAGAGTATCCACCCTCGAAGTACTATCCTCTCAGCCCAGAATGGCAAGACAGAGTGTCCAAAACTCTGTGGAATCTTGCGCATCGTGGCTTTCGTCAGAATGAGGAAGGAGACAACGTGCCTATCAGGCCGTTCCCTTGGCAGCTCAAGAGCGCGAAGGAGTATTACGAGCTCAACGACAAATTGGAAAGCGAGTTCGGAAGACGCGTTATATGGCGCGCGAGAGACTGCAAGGGACGAAGCAAGGCTATGGACAAATGGCACTGTTAAGCCGTATACCATTCTCGGGTCGCTGCCGCCCAGCAAGACGATGTGCAGTGTATGCTGGATGGAAGGAATACTTCAGCGGGCTGACGTACCCTTCTCACTAAGGGTTATACTGGAGCCATCTGTGTTAGATGGCTCAGTGGCGTGTGCTGTAGCGTGAAGAGGGGGGGCTCTGATGTTCATGATATGTGGTGTTGTGCAATGCTCTTGATCTATGGAGTAGCGTGTCGTTTACGCGGCTCATAGATTGTCTCACATCCTCCTCTCTGGTGAGCAAGAAAACATAGGGTTTTCTGGAGAGGTTTTTGGTGAGATTTTTCATGGCATGAATTTTACTTTGTTGTGGAATTTCATGTCCATGAGTTTTGCAATAATGAGACATGACATTTCATATGGAACCGCGAAATACTTCGCGGCTGTGAAATGTTCAAGTCCAGGTGCATCCGAGCACCGATAGAAATTTTTCGTTCCATGGCCGCCCGCGCCCGAGCGTTGCAGCTTCCTCCTGTGCCTCTCAGACGGCTCATTTTGGTCTGGTTGGCAGCGGGCTCCCTTGATTCAGAGTGGAGGTCAGCGATCTTAGGAGACGAGCTCCTTCACGTCTTGGGGGCCTTAGCCCCTGGCTCTCTTCTCCTCTTGTATTTGGGCTTTTCTGAGAGTTACCAGCTTCAAAATAAGACCGAAGTGTTCGAGCTATCCTTCTGCAAACCACCGATATCGTGCAGGATAGCCGAAGGCGTCTGAGTGCCATTTATCGCGGGCTTCCTCATGTCCGCCGATGAGGAATCCTTGGAGGATCACCTGCTGCCTGGTGCTTCTCCTTCGCTGGAAGTTTTCGGGGGTGAAGGGGCGGCTTCGGAGCAAGAGGCTTCAGGCTCCCTTGGGCCCTTTCAGATGGCTGTATGGAGTCTTTTGCATGATGCCCCTTCGGAGCCACAGATCGAAGACGAGCCACAGGACTTCTTGCAGGAATCCATTTTGGATGAAGAGCAGGAGCGCGCTTGGTACAGCCAGGCCGAAGATACAGAGGTGCAAAAATCATCGTCTACATGGGATGTGGTTTCTTCGCAAGAGATGGAACTCCCTAATCCACCTGAGTCAGGAGGGGCCTGGGTTTTGCCTACCCCTTCGAAGGTTGTCGCTTCTCAGTTGGAGGCTAGCTCCGAGTGGAGGAGGGCAGAGGTTGCTGATGGCATCTCGTATAAGAGGCGGTGTCTTCAGGCCCCCAAGCTTCCTTGGGAAGTTGGGGTGTGGGGTCAGATCTTTGGCTCGGGCTCCTCAAGAGACAGAGGGTATTCTTCGCTGCTGCCCTCGATTGGGGTTGAGGATGTGAGAGCTCCTGAGGAAGTGACTCAGGCTTTGGAGCCGAGCGAAATTCCGTCTGTAATCAGGAGGAGGCTCAGAACTTTCAGGCTGGAGCGGCCTGAGGATGACAGGAGGGATTTGGCGCTTGTTAAACATTACCGCAGTATAGGAACACTGTAGTTTGTGTGTATAGGAATGAGCCTTGACGCCTGCAACACGAAGGCTCAAGGAACCCAGACGGCCAGACGACACCGAGCGGTGCAGCCAAAAAAAGTGAGCCGCAGTTGTTTGGGATAGGAACACTTAGTGAACCCCGAATTTTAACAGCGCTGCGGAAATTGCGGCAGATAATCCTGTTTGATCCTTCCACTTCGGAGCTTGGGAAGACGGTGGCAGCAGAGGCGCAAGTCTTGGGTGATGATTCTATGCTATCGAAATCTTTCACCTGTGCTTTTGCTTCAAAGGCCACTGGAACTTTATCGAAGAGAGCCTTTTCTCTGGCCAGGTTTTCGACTTGGATGCTGGTGAGGGGCAAGATGGAGTGCGATTCGAGGTGGGGTTGCATTTTGGGACACCTGCTGTTTTGTGCTCATGCCTGTGCGCGCTGGTCAGATGTTCAGAGAGTGCGGCGAGTATGGGTGGAGGTTGATGATTCGTCTGGGGTCCACCTTATCCATGCCGAGACTGCTGGGATCAAGATCTGCCACAACTGCTGAGGCTAAAGTGGTGGGCTTGGGCCTGGATGTGTCAGGTTCTCCATGGGCTCAGGCATGGATGGAGGCCAGGGAAACAGAGGGGCTTCAGACTGGCCCCCGCCGACATGGTGTGAGAGGCTGGGATGCTGGGGATCCGAGGAGATGGGTTCCAGTGAGGGAACTGCTTACCTTCGCGAGGCCCTGATCTTGTCTGGAGCAGAGGAATCAGAGGTGCGAGATTATGGGACGCACTCGCTGAAGGCTACTCTGTTGACCTGGACCTCTCAGAATATTTTGTTTCCGTTTAATGATGTGGAGCAGCGGGCGCTGGGTCATCATTTGGATGCAAATGCGAAGTCACAGGTTACTTATGCAACTACTTCATCAAGCTTTATGGAAAAGTTTTGTCGGTTGTCAGGTCGATCCAACCGAATCAGTTTAATCCTGTTATGACTGCTGCTGCGAGCGTTGCTGCGATAGCTGGAGCACTTGACGACGCGCCATCTGGAGGCGCAGCTTTGTCTGCCGAGCAGGCGCGCCGGTCGGAGAGCGAGTCCAGCTCCAGTGTTTCTGCAGCCTCAACCAGTGGAACCTCGGGGCTGAAGGGCCGGAGCGTCCTGTCTTTCGGGGTGTGGCCGCAACTGAATGTGTGGTGCACAGAATATCTGGCATAGCACATAGGAGGAGATCTGATGACATTTTGTCATGTGGAAGAGCGGTGACCCAGAACTTCCCGCCCCTTCGGGGTAGGGACATTCGAGGTCAGCCGTCATGCTGCATACAGTGCTTCAAGAAGATGGATGGCGACTCCTAGTGCGCAGCCGGAGTGCTGTGGCGTAGGACTCCAGCGATCCGAGTTACAGGAATAAAATTGGGGCTAGCTGGGCTATGCATCATGGCAGGCTGTTGTCTCTTCGGGGCGTTTTGCCTAGAAGTTCAGCGGTATGAGTGGATGCATGTGTCATGAGTCCGAAGCCTACTTGATGCTAAAGGTAGCATCCCAGTCTGTTGGGGAGTGCAGCCTTTGATCAAGTGCATGCCGCCGAAGAGAGCATTTTGCTCACTATAGAGGTGGGTCATGCGTTCATGTGCATTACATGTCAATCTGGAACAGGATCTTTCATGTTGAACATGTGGTCATTCAAAACAACATTGATTTGTTGAGTACGGTAGGTTTTTGATCATGGCTGCCGCGACGCTTGATAGCACAGTTGAGTTTGCAGAGCGTGCAAAGAAGCTTAAGCTTCCAACAGAGGCCTTGCAGGTCTTGAGTGATGCCGGAATTGATTCCTTTAGGAAGCTGTGTTTCAGTGTCAGCTCGTCGCCTCATAACATTGATGACGCCATTGTTGAGAGGTGGATGGAAAGAATTTTTGCTCACCATCCTTTAGAGGAAGGACACAAAACCACCCTCCGCAAGCTTCTCTTCGAGTCTCAAGGGCTTACAATTCAGGATTTCAAGCAGCGGTTGGAGCCACCGATCCGATAGCTAAGAAGAATCCAGCTGCCGAGCGCATCTCACGTGCCCAGCGCCAGCAGCAGCGGATAACAGGTCTGGTGTATACGCCGGACACGACACCAGCCCATTTCTTGACTGACCTGTTTGTGGAGCAGCTGGACCAAGGGGTTATTTCTTGGATTAGCCCTGACAGATGTACCAGCCGTAGCATGGAGATGGCTAGTCAGAAGCGCGACAAGTCTTTGCAGCTGGCACAGGATGGATCGGTTAAGCTTTCTTCAAAGGTGTCTGAGGTTAAGTGTGATGTCAGCTCGGATGCCAAGCTTCGTTCTGCTTTTCAAAGGCGCAGCCTTGCATTGGACCTAGCAGGATTGTGCAACTTCGTGGTTGTCGAGACATGGATCACTCACTTGTTTGCTGTGATGGCCCGAGAGGTGCCCGAGGGATACCAGCCGGTCTCCTTGAGGCAGGTGATAAGTGCCGATCGCCACTTGTTTCAGTTGATGTCAGAAGATCTTCCGGCTGACTTGTCCAGCCAGCCGGGTCATAAATCACCAGTGGATGAGCGTATTGAGAAATACATGTATTCTGCAGAAGTTGCTCAGTTCCTCACGCCCTTGCAAAGGCATGATGTTTCGCCTGGTCTGATAGATAAGCGCAAGCAGGATGATTCCGTGCCGCCGCCTCCCCCTCCCTTTAAGAAAGCCAAGAAGGGCGAAGGTAAGGGGGATGGGAAGCTTAAGCATAAAAAGGTAGAGCTGCCACCGGGGTGTGTGTCCAAGAATCCGCAAGCAAGCCTCTGTGTTATGGCTACCAGAACGGAACCTGCCGCTTTAAGGGCAAGGGCAAGAGATGTGGGCGTGGATTCCACAACTGCTACCGCTGTTTTGGTGACCATCCGTACAGTGAGTGTCCAGACAAGGAGTGACTAGCTCCTGCCGGCACTCGTGATGCTAATACTTTGGCCGCGGAGCAATCTCTGGGCTCTGCAGCTGAGAGTTTGGCATGTCGTTTTGTGCAGTCTGGCGCTTTTGAGCGCAGCAATGTTGCAAAGGTTTTTCAGCTTAAGGTCGATTCGCCTAACCCGAGGGGCCATGATTCAGGTGCCATGATTCAGGTGACAGTAAGACTTTCATCTCAGGGGCGTTTGTTCATGGTGGCATCACTTCCATCATGAACAACGTTTCTAGTTTTCCTTGGTGCACGCGTTTGTTCACCGGTTTTGTTCGAAAGCATGCCACCAGCGGGGTGAAGTTTTCTACAGTGGCCATCTTTCAAAATGTGCAGACGACCCCACATGTTGATGCGCGCAACTGTCCAGCCAGCATCAATCACGTTTTCCAGATTAGTGAGTTTCGGGGCGGTCGGGTTATTTTACAGGACCCGAACGGCGAACTTCAGCTTGAACATCAAGGCAAGATTCTTCGGGGCTCCCCCCTCGAATTCCGTGATCAGCAGGCTCGCTTCTGTGCCAAGGATCGTCTGCATTGGACAGAGTCTTGGTCTGGGGGTCCTCGTATTGTGCTCATTGCCTACACAGTGCGATCCCTTGCCAAGCTAACCCCAGAGCAAACTTTGAGTGACGTGGGCTTCAGTTTGCCCCGTGCTGCCTCGGCCCCCAAATCGGTGCCTTCCCCTGCGTCCCCTTCAGGCGAGTTGGTGCTTGGGCAGCAACCAGTGGCTCTCGAGCTGTTTGCTGGCACTGGCAGCTTATCCAAGGCTCTTCGTGCTGCAGGCTTTCAGACCTTCGCTCTTGATCATCATGTTGCTCATGCCAAGGTCCCTATCCTTAAAGTCGACTTGGTGACGTTTGAGGGGCAGGGTCTCGTGTGGCAGCTGCTACAGTCCAGCCTCGTATGCTACGTTCACCTTGGGGTTCCGTGTGGGACTAGTAGCAGGGCTAGGGATAGGAGTCTCCTCCCCGGTTTAGGTCCCAGCCCGCAGCCCCTGCATAGTGGTGATCACCCTCTAGGGTTGCCTTCTCTGCAGCCAGGCAGTGTGTCGCATGCACGAGTGCAGGCCGCCAATGCTCTTTACAGGTTTACCTTCCAGGTTGCGGTTTGGTGCGCAGAGCAGCATGTTCTTCTGTCCATGGAGAATCCTTCAAGGGCGTGGACATGGAATGTGTTTGAGCTTTTTGCTCAGGATAATCCTCGGCATCTGTCCTTGTGGCAATCGCTGGCTACAATAGACTTCCATGCATGCATGCATGGCTCCAGCCGCCGCAAGAGAACTCGCCTTCGGGCCACTGAGGGCTTGTTTGAATCACTGGCGCTGGACTGCGATAACAGCCATTCTCATGAACCGTGGACGGTGTCCGTAGAGGGCTCCAAACGAGTCTTTGCTACAGCGTCCGAGGCAGCTTACCCTAAGCTGCTCGCAGAGCGCATGGCTGCCTGTGTCAAAGCTGCTCTTGAAAATCGCCGAGGTCTTAGGTTGCAGCCTCCCACACGTCTGCATGACGAGGCCGCTTGGAGCTTCGCATAAACAGAATCGGCGGCACCCACCTCTAATCCCTGAGTACCGTTCTGTGCAAGTGCTTCCAGCTTCGGCATCCTTGCCATCCAATGGCAAGCTGCTATCCCTCAGCCAGGTTCAGGGGGTGGTAGCGGCAGAGGGATCCTTTGCTGTGAGTTCTGTTGCTTCTGCATCGGCAGCCTCAGAGCGCAAGGAAGCAATTGATGTGGCTGTTTCAGGCGGCAAGCAGGTACTGGGACTTTGGCACACTCCGGACCAGAGGTTCAAAACCTTGAGCGGAATTTTCTTGACTAAGTTAAAGATCAGGGCAAATGAACTCCGTCACAAGGAGGATGAACTGCGTAATGGCATGGCACCTCACTTGAGGAAGGTCTTAGGCTCTAAGAATCTTCTGTTGTGGAAGGAGTTGCTGGAGCAGTCAAACTTTGATGACATGGGGGTTTGTAGTTTCATGTGCGAGGGAGTCAAAGTTGTGGGCCAAGAGCCCCACCCTAAGGCTTACAAGTCTAAATTGGTCCCTGCCTCTACATCTGAAGAGGAGCTAAGAGAGTCGGCCATGCAGCGTCGGAGGGCCCTTGAACTTCTGTGTGCAAAAGGAGTGTCTCCAGAGCAGAGGTCGCAGCTGATGCGACACTCGAAGAACGTGATGCGGGCTACCTGGAGGGTCCGTATTCGGCTTCGGAGGTTGATGCTCTCTTTGGCCATACTAGGTGGAATGCGATCAGACGATTTGTGTTGGTGCAGGATCGGGGCAACAAGCTCCGACCGATAGATGATGCTTTGGAAGGACAGTTGAATGCCGCTTGNNGCTTGCTGCACGAGCATCCAGCTGGAACTCCAGGACGCAGATTATGTGACATCCCAGGCGCTTTTCGTGGCCAGGCGTAGCTGAGGCCCGAGGTGTGCGTGTGAGAGGCCCTTGGAGAGGAAAATGCCTGGACCTCTCCAAGGCTTACAAGCAAGTAGGGGTGCATAATGATCACAGGGATCTCACAGTAATCTTAGTACCCAAGGCCGACGGATCCCCCACCTACTTCGTCAGCAACAGCCTAATATTTGGTTCAGTTGCAGCTGTGTATTCGTTCAATAGGATATCGAAGTCCCTGTGGCAGCTCATAAACCACTTTATGAGAATACCGACTTCGGGTATATTTTGACGATTATCCAATGCTGATGCCAGACAGTTTGGACGCTGATGTGTCCGGGTTCCTCTCCATCCTGGGGTGGAGCCACGCGATTACAGGCAAGAAGGGTTTTTGACGTGTTGGGGATGACCCTCGACGTTTCCATGATGCATCAGGGCACCGTGACACTGGCCAATAAAGTTGGTCGCACCGAGCGCAGTCTGCAGCAGCTCAAAGAGGTTCAAGGAGGTAGTGGGCCCTTCAGGCATAGTCTTCAGATCCTAACGGGGCTTTTGAACTTTGCCTCAGGCTTCTATGCAGGCAGAGAGTTGCGACATGTGTGCTAGTCTTGAGGCGACGCCGCCAAGAGTCTTGTCATGCGCCTCGAGTCGTGCTCCGATCCTTGTGTGGACGGATGGCGCTTGGGAAGCGAATCTTGCAACCATCGGTGCAATTGTCTATGATACTTTCACCAAGGAAGCGAGGGTCATGGGACAGCAAGTTGACGAGGAAATCGTCCGCTCTTGGACCAAGCCGAGCGCGTGTGATCTTGAGCAAGAGCAAATAATTTCGCAGGTAGAGCTTTTCGCCATGGTGTGTTGCAGAGAAACATTCAAGCACGACTGGGTGAACCGCCGAGTCTTGTTCTTTGTGGACAATGAAGCTGCCCGGTTCAGTGCTATCAAGGGGGGAAGTGTTTCGGTTACCGTGCGTGAGTTAGTCCGCCTGTGGGATGGGCCCAACAAGGAGTGGCCTGCTCTGATATGGGTGGAAAGGGTCCCGTCGTTTTCTAACTTGGCGGATGGACCGTCGAAGCCCCCGCCCCGGCTCAAGCGTGAATTTTTTTCGTCGTTGTAGGGGGTCAAAAGAGTTAGGGTGGGCCATGCCCGTCGGGAAGTTAGCTACCCCCACACCCCACATAGCATATATCTAATCATACATCTTATCCCTATTCCCCCTAAGGTAGCTTTCTTCCCAACGGGCGTGCCTAGGTTGATAGAATTTATGGTAAATTTAGGGGTTCGCGTATGCTACACGAGCACTTCGTGTTCAGGGCTTGGGGTGTGTATAGCCGAGCAAATCCCAGCAGAAGCTGGGCATCACATCGTCGGCAAGGAGTTCCTGATGGTGCGCCTTGCTCGTTTGTGTTGCCAGTGGATGCTTTCTGCAAGTGAGTGCGCATTCGTTGTCAGCAGTTGCAACAAGGCTTGAGCAAAACTTGGGAACTCAACCGATGCTCCATCTCAAGCGATTTCCAAGCCTTGCTGTGATTTCCAATTCGCCTACCTTCTTCTTGCTCTCTAGTAGCAATGGAAGGGATGAACTATCAGGATATGCAGGACCACATTCGCGGTCTTGGGCACCCTGATGCAGAGTCATTCATCGTGGGGAACTTCAACGGCGTTCCTCGGGCTCTCGTCGTCCCCAACGATGTGTTTGGTGACGGGGAGAACCTTGATGACATTGACCTTGAGCGTTACATGACGACCGATACCGACGTCATCAAGGAAATGCTTGACATGAAAAACAAGCCAACTCTGCTTCAGTTGGCGAGGCAGATTGGCGTCAGAGTGCGCAACAAGGACAATAAGCCCGTTGTCATTGATGCCATCACAGAGAAGCTCGTTGAGGGGGCTCTGCCTCAGGAAGATGGCGATGACCGTCTCAACTTGACGGAACATCAGAAACTTCGTCTTATTTCCTTGGGCATGGCAGTTGTCATGGGCAAGGACATCGCATCCGCAAGCACTGACACCATCCTTACCGAGTCCCAAAAGACGAAGCTTTTCCGCGAGACAGAGAAATCCGTCAGGGAGGAGCTTGCAAAGCAGGACCCAGCTAAGGCTCTTGACATCTTGCAGAAGATGAATGCCACCTTGGAAGTCCCGCTCAACAGCGACTTGATTGAGGAGTTGAAGGCGAAGTTGGCAGAGGAACGCAAAAACAATGCCCAGTTCATTGAGCTCAACGAGAAGACCTCCACGACCGCAGGAACTTGCACCGTCATTGTGAGCAACGACAAAGAGGCTCTGCACTTCACCTACTACTTTGAGCCCTCCGACACCTTCAAGGACCTCGCCTACCTCATCTACACACTGAAAGGCATCCGCATCGGTGGCGATTACGACCTCGTCTTCGTGCATTCCGAGACAAACTCCGTGGCGGTTGATTGGGAGACCCTTGGCAGTTGGGCGTGTGATGGCACCTTGAGCTTGGTGGTGAAGCCCCGTCTCCTTGGAGGCGGAAAGAAAGGCATCAAGAAGCACCTCAAGGCAAAGACTACGAAGAGCTACCTCATGGACAAGGCGAAGAACATCAAGCTGGATGCCATCAACGTCCTCCCGTTCGTCAAGGACACCAGCAATGAGATTTCCGCCATTGTCACCGAGCTTGACAGCAAAGGTGGCTTTGAGGTGCTTGGTGAGCTCTTGGAAAAGCTTGACTACGAAGCCATTGAGAGCATTCTCAAGGCACTTGATGAGAGAGGCGGGTCCACAGAATACAGGGTTAGCAAGATTTCGTCTATCTTGCTTGGAACAAACGCGATGATGGTATCCGAAGTGTATGACACGACAAAAGATGTACTTGATTGCGGAGTTATGGCTATGCAATACGCATTTCAGAGAGCCTCGGAGACGACCGATGCTCCCCTCCGCACCTTCCGCAAGATGCTGGAGGAGGCAAAGTTCAAGCGCTTGGGAGCGATGGCTGTGATGAGCGACTGAGTTTGACACAGGTGCTGAGTCCATTACAAGCACACCACAGGGCAAGTAAGATGCAATTTGAGTTTTCCCAAATATGTTTTGGGTTCTCTCAAAACCCAAATTTATCTCCCTAAAATAGGCTTTGAGATTTTGGGCTGGCGTGCTGGAATGGCTGTTGCAGACACGCACCGACGAGACTGCAACGGGTGAGGGGGGAAACGAAACAAGGGCAGTGCGAGTGCATTCACGGAGCGACTTGATATCCAACCCTACCCCACTCCACCCCCTCTGTCCTTCCCACCGCAACTTGAAACCCCCGCTAGGTTGATGACGGCGAGTACAAGCAGAACACTGCGCGGAGCCTCTGGGAAGGGTTGTTCGGGGTTGTAGGGTTGTGGGTTGTTAGGGGTTTCGCCTTTGAAGGCTTCTTCGGGAAAAGGATTGGCTCTGAGGAGCTGTGCGAACAACCGTCTCAGAACTGGAGCGCTGTGCATTCAGACTTTTAGGTTAGGGTTGTAGGGGGTTGAGGGTTTAGTCCCTAATCCTGACCCCTAGAAGAAGAGAGAGGAGAGACAATTTGGCTCAAAATCAATAGCAAAACCCAATACAAAACAACCCAAAACAAAAAAACAAGTAAAAACAAAAATCCAAACATCAGTGTAGAGAATTTTTGTGTTTAGGAATGGTTGTAATTGTCTCAAACCTGCTTTCGCCATTCCGCTGACCCAGTGATGCACACACACACAACAAACAAACACCAAAGCAAGAGAAAACAAGTAAGAATAAAAAATAAAAATAGAAATAAACAAAAATAGTTAATACAATATTTTATAAAAATAGTTAATACAATATTTTATTTATTATTGTATTAATTATCAGTTTAATAAATCAAGTTGGTTTATTTAAAATACTCTCTTATAACCTTATTAAAATCCCTTACAGTATTAGTGAAATCAAGTTTTAATCTATACTCAATAAACTCCCTGATTTCTTTATTATCGTTACATTCCATTCTTTCTTTATATAACCTCACAAACTTTTTGTATCTCCTTTCGGTTATGTTTTTAATATGCATCTTAACCGTTTCATAACTAGGAAACAGGCGCTCCAAACTCAAAAGCAAATTATCAACATTACAAAAATGCAAAATATTTGTTTCAAGGTGTTCTTTTAATACTTCCTCAATGTATTTTGCCCTTTCGCATTTGACACACCTGTAAGCAAAACCATAAATGTTATTAATAATATTTTCTGGTAATGGCATCTCGTTTAACACACAATAGCGCTCGTGTTTTTTACAATCCTTGCATTTGCAACTCTCTCTGTTTCCCCTACTTTCCCTGATGTAATCACTGACTCTGATGACATCCAAGAACTGATTAATGATTTCCTCCTGTTCT